AACCCGTGAGGGAGGAGTAGGAGGAGAGGCGCGGCATGGGGGCAGCAGTCCCCAGCACCTTGGCCCCGGGACTGATGTGAGACCCGGTCACTGTCGCCCGGAAGTGACAACTCCCTCAGGCTTCTCAGAACTCCTGCCTCACAAGCCACGACCAGGCCTTGGATCCCACCTTCCCTCAGGAATCCCCTCCCACACCCCGAAGTCCCTGGGGCCCTCCACATGCCATTCCCACCTTCCAAATCCAGAGACCCCAGCCGCTGCCCAGTTCACTTACTTGCTGAGGGCAAAGTCCAGGATCTCAGCCGTGTGGCCCCGGTAGTCAGTCAACAGGCGGCCAGTCCGAGCGTCCCAAAGGCGCACGATGCCATCCAGGCTGCAAGTGTAAACCACAGCGGTGCCTGCCTCCCACAGCAGCTGCACGATGCCCGACTGCACCAGGGTACAACAGAGGAAAGGTGGCGGTCAGGGCAGAAGAGGTGAGAGGCACCCGCTCCCACCTCTCGTGGAGGAAGGGAGGGCGGGAACATGGGCCACAGAAGGACCGAGCAGGAGCCAGGTCCGGGGTAGATCCACCCAGGGCCTGGGCTTCCCCACGGCCACGACCATGGCTCCAGGCTGCCTGTACCTGGTGCTGACACTGGTGCCTGAGGGTCTGCGTCGACAGGTCATAGATGGCCAAGGTTCCATCCAGGTAGCCGACAGCTGCCAGAGGCATCCTGGGTGGAGGGAAGTGCCCCAAAGCTCACAGAGGGACCTGGGCTCACCTGCCCTTCATTCCTTCCTGGACCCCCGGCCCAGGCCCCTCCCCAAGCTCATCCCTCTCATCTTCAGGCTGTCTCCAGGCCAAGGTCCTGGTTCACACTCACACACTGCAGAAGCCCAAGGATTCCACTGAGTTGGACTCACTCTCCTCCCCTTCTCCCAGGTTGGGCTGGGAGGCCACAGTCTCGGGCCTGAAAACACCCACCACCTATGAGCCAGAGGAGAGGATCAGAGGAGGGCTTGGTCCTCTAACAGAGAAGGCAGGCGGTGGGGCAGGGAGGCAGTGAAGAATCGGAAAGGAAGGGGAGAAGACGCAGAAAGTGGAAAGCTCCACAGCGAAGCTCCGGGCCCCACTCACCTTGCCAGTGGTGGCACTGACCAACTTGGCCTGGCAATCCACGGAGCCGGTTAGGATCAGGCTGCCGTCCTGGTTGGTGGCGACACAGGTCAGAGGGCCCTGGTGACCCTCAGTCCCTAGGATGGAACAAGGGGATAAGTCTGACTTCATCCTCCAAGTCCTGCCCAAGGTCTCGGTCCCCTCCCCACAAAGGCCCAGGGTAACATGTCCCCCACTTCTGATACCTTTTAGTACGTGGATGGGGTTTCCCTGCTTCAGGTCCCAAACCCTGATGGTGCCGTCTTCATAGCCGACCACAGCTCTCTTCCCTACAGGGCCAAAGGCCCAGGCGGAGAGAAGGACAGACAGCACACTCAGACACTCCCCACAAGGGAATCTGGTGGAGGGCGGGCAAGAGAGGGCAACAAGTGAGGGAAGAGACTGCCCCGGGGGCCAGCAGAGGAGCCCCAGTTCGGGGCGGAAAAAAGGAGCCCTCTCGCTGGGGCCTGTGAGGTCAGTGCTCCTGAGAACAAGCTCGGAGTTTGCAGGCTGTGTTCCAGGAGGGAGCCTAGGAAGCACATAACCCTGCATCCAACCCCTCTGTTCTCGAGAAGGGACGCTCAGGGAAGCTTCTCTCACCATCAGGGAGGACTCGGCCACACGTGGCTGGGCAGTTGGGACCCTGGAAAGTCTTGCAGTCACCATTTGGGACCTTCCACATCCAGGTGTTGCCATCAGCGGTGCCCGCCAGTAAGACAGGTGCCCGAGGGTGCCACTCCATCCACTGGACAGAGGGGAAGGTCAGCAGGGAGGCCCATCACCCCATCCCACGTAGGAACCTGCCCACTGAACCCTACCACATATCTCCTGCTCCGGGTCAGTGGGGACACCCTAGGTGGCTGGCACAGACATTCTCGCTGTACCTTGAGCATGCACTGGCTCAGAGGTGGCTTGGTCTGGGAAAGGCGAGGCTGAACCCCCAAGCTCTCACCCACTACCCAAGACCCCCCAGAGTTGAATCCCACTCTCATGATCTCACCTCCAGGTCTCCTGCTTCAAAGGACCAGACCTCCTCCTTGGTGTCCACCTGCCACACTTTCAAGAGGCCACTCATGTCCCCTGTGGCCACTAGGGTAGAGTCATGGCTGAAACCAGCACAAGTCACAGAGTCTTTGTGACCTTCCGGGGGGAAAAAACCACACACACACACACGCACACACACACACACAGAAAGAGAACATCAGGGCACCAGGTAGTGGGACACATGACCCAGGTATCAGGCCTCTTAAAGGATCCGCTGGGAAAAGGGCGGATCCCAGTAGAAGAGGCAACCAAACTCATTGTCTCTGCAGAACTCAATACACCCAGGTCTCCTCAAGGGAGACACTGCCGGCCCCCAACTCAACCATGCTCGGCCCAGGCCTATGTCTTACCCTTTGGCCCACTCCACACCACCACCCGGAACACTGACATCCACACCTCTTCCCACACACTCCCATGTCCGCCTGTGTCTCCTCCTCTCGAGCCTTTCCAAGACTCCCTTGCCCAACTAGTGCCTCCCTCCCCTATGTCCATGGCAGACTGTGCCATTCTTCCCTGGAGTCCTCAGGCCCATAGAGTGGGCCAAACGGGGTCAGTAAATGGCTGCTGGATGTACAAATGCTGCAGGTTAGCCCCTAAGACCTTCAAAGGGACACGACCTCATTTGAGCCCCCTTACCTGCACACTCAAAGAGCAGCTCCCCATCACTGAGCCTCCACACGAAGGCTTTGTCATCTTCACCCCCTGTCACCGCCAAGGTGTTGGTCTTGGGATCCAGGCTCACACAAAACACAGATGCTGTCCCAAGAGATGTTTCACAGGTAAGCGGATGGGGCTCCCACCTAGAGTTCTCTCCTTTGGGATCTGCAGGAAGCCTACCCCCTTCCACCCAAAACATGTCCTTCCTCCAGGAAAAGAAGGATGCATCCAAGTTCTTCTAAGTTTCAAGCATCGGATCATTGGAGAAATACCTCCCCAAGCTTGCCAAGCGCCAAGTACTTCTCTAGGGCAGATCCCCCTACGGCACTGCACCCTTCACCGCCCCACACTGATGCCACGAGAGAGGGTACACGCGCAGGGCTTACAGCTCTCGGCATGGGATGCCACCAGGCTGGGTGCAAAAACAGGGAGGAAAACATTGTGTTACTTGTTCCTAACTAAGACCCAATAACTGAGGATTACATAAAAAATGCTCAAAAAAGTACTGTAACACCTAATTTACACTAAATAACTTTTTAATTTTTTTTTCTTTTATTGATTCCAGAGAGAGAATAAGAGAGGAAAAATAGGAGAGAAACACTGAAGTGAGAGAGAAACCAGTGTTTCTCAGTTGCCTCTTGCATGTGCCCTGACCAGGGACCAAACCCCCAACCCAGAAATGTGCCCTGACTGGGAACTGAACTCTCCGCCTTTCCATCTGTGGGATGACGCCCAACCACCTGAGCCACACTGGCCAGGGCACGGTAACTTTTTAAAAGAAAACTGAGACCCAGAGAGATTACTAAAGATCATAAATTGGGAAGCAGCAGAGGTAGGATTCGAACTCAGGCCTCTGAGACGACTTCAGGAATCAAGCTCTCCTCCGGCCCCTCATACCGCCCCCTACCAGTGAACTCCAGGACAAGACCAGTATTTCCCTCTCGGCATCCCTCATGATGCTCGGTACACAGCGGATGTGCGATGCTCAAATGCCTGCCTGGCCTGAGTTTATGATGATCTCCTCAAAGACCTACCTGAGTGCAGTGCAAAGGTGACCTCGCTATCATCTGGGCCCTCCATACTGCCGACCACCCCTTCCTGGGGCTCCAAAACCCAGCCCTCGTCGTTGCCCTCTTCCTCTTCTTCCTCTTCTTCAAAGTCCACGTCTTCCATCTCCTGGGCTAGATCATCTGCTTTGGAGAGAGGAAAACGGGGCTCAGCAGGCGGTAAGAGGGATGGAGACAAGTGTGGGGAGGCCTAGGGCTGGGGTGGGTCATGTGGCAAGAGGGTGAGGTCAGACGAATGGGATCCTACGGGGGCAGGAGGGGCAGGGACGCGGAGGCGTGTGGGACGGAGGGCAGAAGAGGTCCCAGTACCTGGGGTTGGCCAGACAGTGTGGAAAGGGAGGACCGAGGGGATGATGGGAAGGGGGTGTGTGAGGGGAAGGGCCGGAGGAGGCATCAGGGGAGCCCCCACCCCGGCCAGGTCTGATAACTAAGTGTGGGGTGGGGGGAGGGGGGAAGGGCGAAGGAAGTCGGTAGGAACGACCGGTAGGGTGTAGAGGGGAGGGGGGAGAAGCTGGGGTCATAGGCCAGAGGTGAGCGCCTCCTGTCCCGTGGCCTGAGGACCGGCAATTCTCACCCGGGTCCGGCGGACCAGGATCCAGCTCTACCACCTCGATAATTTCTTCATCACCATGGAAGCTTAGGGTCTCCAGCGGGGGGGTGTCAGCGGCAGCCCCGCTTTCAGATTCGGACTCCATGCGGCGCAAGAAGCCGATCCACTTCTCTGGGCCCAAACGCCTCCCAGAGTCAGCTCTGCGCGACGACGCGGAACTCGGGCCCCTCCTCCCGGGGAGGAAATAGGCGCAGGCGACTCCCCAAGCACGAAGAGAGACGGCCGCTTGGCCAATAGGAAGAGGGGTTGGCTAGCTTAACCACCAATCACAGAGCAGATCTGAGAGAAGGGGACGGGCTGTGGCAGGGAGAACCTAAACTCCGCCCGACCTGACTCCGCCCCCGGCAGGAGGGAAACAAGCGAGCGTGCGCGCCTCCGGGTCTCCTGGGAAGAGTAGTTCAGCCCGGTCCGCTCCAAGCGCTTTTGGGAGCTGTAGTTTCTGATCCGTAGGCGGGTCGGAAGGAGCGGGGGAGGCCCCTTACGCAAACTACAATTCCCGACGGGGACCGCGGTGAAGGGGGGTGGGATCTGAACATGGCGGCGGTGGTAGCTGCTACGGCGTTGAAGGGCCGGGGGGCGAGAAATGCCCGCGTCCTCCGGGGTAAGGAGAGGGACCCCGGGGAGGGCAGGACTGCAGGAGAGCCCCTTTTTTTCACATCCCGCTCGGCGACAGCAGGAAGTCAGGGCTGTCTATTCCTGCTCGCACCCCTCTGCAGGGTCTTAAAGAGTCTGGGGGCTATAAGGTGGTCTCTAGAAGTCACCCAGCCCCATCCCTCTGCCTTCGGGTTACACAACACCTCAGGGGTCTTGCTGCTCGAAGGTGTCCCAAGGAAGCCTTTTAGACTCCCGCGCTCCAGGTGTTTAACACTCACCGCAGTGCAGAGGAAAGAGCCCTCAGCTTCTGGAGGCTTGGGTTCTAGCCCCGGATAATTAGCAGTTTGACCTTGGGCGAGGAAGTTTCTCTTTGGGCTTCAGTTTCCTCTTCTGTAAAACCAGGGGGCGGAGTAGACCACCTTTAAGCTCCCTTCAGCGCTAACCTTCTGCGGTTTGAAAACATTTTCGCGGATTTCCTTCATACGTCTCATGTGAGTTCCACTGCAGTCCTTCTCATCCTGTCTTCTAAAGAGATGAAGAACAGCAAAACTCGCTCTCCCTGGCACCAGGGCGATGAGCCCACAGTGACGTGGAAGTCGCTTCCAAAGGTGTCACCTCGATGGCGATTTTCCCATGTCCCTTTGGATTCTCCCTGGCACTTGTTACACCATACTGCAGTCACCTCCCTTCCTGCGATACTAACCACTCTTCCCCAGGCTTTCTCCTCACCCTCTTACTGACCTTCATTATCTCTATCTACAGGGATTCTCTCAGGAGCCACAGCTAACAAAGCTTCCCAGAACAGGAACCGGGCACTACAAAGCCACGGCTCCCCAGAATGCAAGGAAGAGCCTGAGCCCCTATCTCCTGAGCTGGAATACATTCCCAGAAAGAGGGCCAAGAACCCCATGAAAGCGGTGGGACTAGCCTGGTGAGTTCTAACCCTTTGCCCACCCATAAAGAGGGCGGGACCCAGAAACTTCTTTAAGTTTCCGGTGGTAAGCTGAATCCAAGGTTGTGGGGACAGACTTGCTGGGTGCAAGGACTGGGACTGTTAAAGGAATGGGAGCAGGGGCCATGGGAAAGTATGTGGAATTGGAGAGACAGTGGGTTTTCTGTGGAGTAAGCTGAGCTAATCTGATTTGAATTTGGTTCCCTGGCCTCGTCTTTTTTGGGGAGCTTGGGGTGAGACCCAATTGAGGTTTCACGTAGAAGGTGTTCAGTACATTGTTATTCAGATTCGACTCTGACCTTAATACATGTTACTGACCAATATTAAAGGGGAGGGGGAAATTAACATTTTTTTCCAGCCCCTTATGTGTTCCAGCACTTTACAGTGTAATGTTTTAGTTTTTCTGGTAAATACTACATCCCCATTTCACAGAGGAGAGAACTGAGGCTCAGAGCTGGGATTCTCACCAGGTCTTGTGACTCCATGCCCTTTCCCCAGCATGAAGGTGCTCCAGGTAGCAGTTACTCAGAATTGGAAGGGGAGTCTGGGAGACGGTGTGGGGCCATTTAGGCAGAGGGAAACTTTGCCAAGACTTGAAGGGGGAAAGACGATGGGCTGTCAGGAGAATCATGCACAGGCCGTATAGCAGGATTGCGGGGCTCAACATTGAGAAGTGTCTCTCGGGCTACAGGGGATAGGAAATGCAGAGGTAGGCAGAGACCCAGCTACACTGGGCCTGTTGTGCCATGTCTAGGCATTTGGATTTGGCTGGGAAGTGATGGATAGCTGTGAAGGGATTTTATGAATGTCAGTGGCATGATCTGATTTGTGTGGGGCCCTCCAGCAGCCAATGCAGAGACTGAATGGACAAGAGGTATTGCAGTTCTTAGGAGATCAATGAAGCTGGAATGAGATTTCCCCCCAGCTCCTCTGGCTCAGGCATGGCCCCTCCCCAAACCCCGTGCACATTTCCCCACCCCTAGGGCCATCGGCTTCCCCTGTGGTATCCTCCTCTTCATCCTCACCAAGCGGGAAGTGGACAAGAACCGTTTGAAGCAGATGAAGGCTCGGCAGAACATGCGGGCATCCAACACGGGCGAGTATGAGAGCCAGAGGTTCAGGGCCTCCTCCCGACACGCCCCATCTCCTGAAGCTGGGCCCGGGGTGCAGACCTGAGGAACACTGCAGCCCTCCCCTAGACTGTATTGACCGAGGCCTCCAAACTGCGACGTCCTTTGGGTTTGGCTGCAGTTCTGTTCTTTGCCTCTAAGGTCCACCAGAGGGCGCGTGAAGCCCAGGCTGCTGCCGGCCTGTGTCTCTCCCGTCCCCTCCCCTCCCTGAGAAACCAGCCAAAGGCAAATAAAGTTACTGAGTGTTGAAGTGGAAAGGAACTGGGACTGGATTTTTGAGTCCCTTGGGACGGGAGGGACCAAGGGTGGTGTTGGTTACTCATGTGTGCTGTGTCTCACAAAAGCATTCGGTGTTCCCCTCTTAATGGCTGGGGAAACCACAGAGTAGAGCAACAAGCTTAGGCTCAAGCCCTGAGGACCAAGCCCACAGAGCTGCTGGCCAGGAGGGTGGGGCCTCTCTCAGCTTTGAACAAATAAAAACAGAAAAAGGGCATTGAAGGTGTGAAAGAAAAAAAAAACCACAACACTACTCTTGGCTGAGTCCAAGTGACTCAGCCTCTCGGGGCCTCCGTTTTGTCGTTTTAAGAGGTTCTGGACAGTGATCTCTGAGGCAGGGGACCTAAGCCTGAACCTGTACCCGTCTCCCCCACCCCAGCCTCGAAACTGTCTGCACACGTACAGCTTTGTGGGGAGGAATTCATGAGCTTTGGTGAAGGTCCATGACGTAAGAGAGGTCACGTGCTCTAAGTGTCAGACCCAGTAATGCAGGTTGAGCTTTCATCCGCCGTTCACATGTATCACCAGGAAGCACTGGGGCAAAATGTGCTCGATTATCTTAGAAAAGGTGGAAGGTAGCACGCCAGAATGCAATAGGCAGGAAGTAGATGTTTTGGGCAGAGCCAGACCGGAAGTGAAGAAAACCAGACTCCAGTGGGGTTTTAACTTCTAAACATAAAACTTTATTACATATCTAGTTATATCCTTTTACGTGATATACTCAGGACCAAGGACTTAATACAGGAGTCCTAATTATACCCTTGGGCTGATTTGGTTTCCACCCCACCCGATAGAGTGACCCTTGTCCTCCTTCCCCCTTCCAGCTTGAGGCACTTGGTGTCACAAAGAAAGCAGTAGCTGGCTGGAGAGAAGGGATCCGAGTCTAAAAGCCCGCAGTGAGAGTTAAGGACAGAGGGGAAGTCTCCTTCCTCTCAGTGCCCTCCCCAGGTGAGCAGAAGGAAAGAACACAGAAGCTTCCACAGGTGCCACTCCAGGCTTCATGGCCTGTGGACTGGTGCCGCCAGGGGTTTTCCCTGCCCCCCGCCCAGCCTCTCCATCCCGGTTCCTTCCTGGCCACACTAATGGCGCTAACAAACCACACCATCTCCTGACCTTTGCCCCTCACTTTGAGCAGCCTGAGCATGGGAAGCAAGAGAGCCCTCTGACCAGAGATCTCAAGCACCAGGGAGCCCCCCAGGCCCGACCCCAGGCAGCCTGGGAGAATGGGGACTGGAGGGCTGCAAGTGGGCCTGCTTTCTCTGCCGCCACAGCCATGGGAAGCCCAGAGTAGATGCTGCTCTGTACTGGCCCCTGCACTTGACTTTGTTTGCTTTCATCTCCCTCCCCTGCCCCCAACCCAGATAAATAGTATATACACGCCATCAGAAGAGGAGCTGAAGCAGGGGGGCCCACAGGCACAGATTTATGACACCTCCCTGAGCTGGGGAGTGCCAGGGTTTGCCAAAGGAGTACAGGATAAGGCTGTGGGAGGCCCGGAGGCTGGGGACAAAGCTCTTTGTTAGGGGTTGAAGGAAAACAGCCCCAGCTACTTAGCCCAGAAGCCTATGGCAACAGTGGGAGGGGAAACCTCGCCACCTGGAAGTCACTTCCACCTCCATATTCCCTTTTAGTTACAGAATAGGCTCTTGTCATCCCTCCCCGCTCTAACTCCAGCAGTTAAGAAGAATTTGGTGCCACATAGTGGGTACATATTCAGCCTAGTCCCTGCCAAGAGTTAGTTCCCAGTTCCTCCAGCGCCACTGGGTGGTACCCATATATCCACAGCCAGAGAGGCCACCACACAGGACAGAAAGGACACTGGGCATATTACTTGAGGGGAAGGAAAGGGGCCCGTGGCCTAGACCCCGGTCATAAGGCCCAGCCCTCTAGGGATGTGAGAGCCCTGGGTGGAGCAGAACTGGGGGTGCTCTTAATCGCGACTCCCCACCAGCTGCAGCACGAAGGTGAAGATGTAGATGATGTCCGTGTAGATCTGCAGGGCGCCAGTGATGTAGTCCTCTGGGCTGATGGTGTGCTTCCGGTTCCCCAGGACCAGCTGCGTGTCGTAAGCCAGGAACTGCGGGGACAGGCATGAGTGAGGACCCAGGGGCATAGCGCCAGACCTTGTTTCTGGTCAGCAGATCTGTCCCCGGAGCCTCTGTGCCATGCAGCAGTGTGCTTAGGGGACGCATTAATGAACAACACAATGCATAGTCTCCACCCTCAAGCAGTTCAGAGTCTATAATATAAAGAGAGAGGTGCCCTGTCTCTACAGGATGGCCTGCTGAGTGTCCTCTAGCAGTGGGAACCAGAGACGGCGGGAACGCCCACAAAATCAGTGGGACCTCTTGACAGTGGGAGCAGAAAGGGTGGTTGTGGCCACACCACCGGCCTCCTGGGCAGCCCAAACTCCTGCTCCATCGGCTAAGTTCCTCCTCCCCTTCTCCTCAGCTTTCCTTCCCAGAGGAGACAGGTCCCTACTCACCAAGGTGAAGCAAATGGCCCCCAGAGCAGCATAGACCATATGGAGCCAGTAAACCTGGGGAGAGGACACAGGGATGGTGTTAGAAATCTTAGCAAAGCATGGACCATGGAAGGCTCTCCCAGGACCAGCTTCCCTGGGATTCCGGCACCTAGGTGGGTAGATCTAGGAAGCTACCTACATGAAAGGACTATCTCTGCCTTCCAGATCTTGGAGGAAATTAAGAATGGGTGATACATTTAGCAGGGAAAACATCCTCCAATGACCATATAAAAACCAATCGCCAAAGCGAGTTAATGTACAGAGGTGTCCATTATATTTCTGGTTAAAAGAAGGTGGTCGAATTATAGCTCTGGGAGGGGTGGACTCAGGCATGTGCTGGTTGGAGAGCTTTATCACATAACCCCCAGGCAAGGTCAGTCTTTAGGAGGGTGGTTCTTGCAGCCCAACCTGGGAGGGACAGACTAAAGAAGAGAGTTGGGAGGGAAGCCTCTCAACCGCCTGATGAACATCAGAATCGGAGAGTACCCCCAGGGCAGCCCTGCTCAGCATTCTTCCAGGGGCCTGTCCACAGAGGGGCAGGGCCAGCCCATGGCCAAGTGCACAGGCAGCCCTCCTGTTCATGTTTCCCCTTCCAGCACTGTTCCCTTCTCTCTGCCATGAGGCTCCCCTCTCAGCCTAGGGGCCTCAGGCTTTCCCCTGGCTGACTGGAAAAAAAGAGGAGCTGGCTACAGTGATCCCTAAGGCTCCTTCCACCCCAGCCCATCTTCTCGGTCCTCTGGGTTCCCCTCCCAGACCTTGGTCTCGGCCGACAGACCGCTCTCACCCACTACTTCCTGTAGGAGTCCACAGGCTGTCCAAGGCCTCAGGTGCTATGGCTCCCAGGGCCGGCGGTCGCTAGAGCGGAGCTATGCCCTAACCCAAAGGACGGGGCTTCAGCAAAGGACGGTGCCTTTGCTAGTCGGTCGAGAGTTTCTGGAAGTTAGAGCCTGCCCCGAGGCCCGCGGGGTCTGCTGCACTCATCATACAGAAAGTCTTCCCCAAGCACTGGCTTTGCTGACCCCAGCTCTCCCGAGACACTCACATATTTGAAGGCCAGCACAATGGCAGTGACAATCCCAGTCACCATCATCACAATTCCCAGGACACAGAAGAGGCCTGTGCACGACGTGAAGTCCACCTGCCAGGGAGGAAGAGTGAGGCCCCTGTGAGACGAGTTCCACCGCTGGCGGCCCAGCAAGACGGGCCCTGCCTCCCCCAACCAGGGAGTCCCAGCACTGCCTCCTGGGGGACATGGGAGTGACAGTCTAGGACAGACCAGAAGCAGTTTTGTAGGTGTAGTACCTATGAAGGGAAGGGGATGAGGGTCTCCAAGGGAACTCTCCAGTGTAGGGGTCTGGGCCCTTCCAGGCTTGCTCCATGCAAGCCTTAAGGGCCAGTCTGTACAAGAAAGGGAGGTGCAGTGGCGAGGGGAGGACCCTCCGGACCCTCCTTACCTTGGTTTGGAAGCAGAAGATGGTGACTGAAATGGACACCACGGCCGTGATGATCATTGCAATGATGACGGCTTTGGTCTGATACATGCTGGAGGGAAGGAGTTGCAAGAGGCCAGAGGCATAGGCGCATTATGACTGACTCCAAAACCGCCATTCCCGGAAGGACCCCACGCAGAAGACTGCCACCCAGGGATGCCCCACTCCCCCACAACACCCACTCCCCCAGGGCGTGGAGGTGTGTCCCTGACTCTACCTGGCAATGGTACCGGTCATGAAGCCCAGGGCAAGAGTCTGAGGGAAGGAAGGAGACAAGAGTGAAACAAAGGAGACGAGACGCATCGCCACGGTGGCAGGTCAGAGCTGGGGGTAAATGTGACCGGGGAGGCCAAGGCAGGGGCCAGGACATGGCGATGGAGAGAACCAGAGCGATCTTCCACAGGGGCGCTGCCACCCCTTCCCTGGGGCTGACCCTCACACCATCTCCACCTCCCCACCCCGCTTCTAGACTTACAAAGAGGACCAGCAGGATGATGTTCCATGGGAAACGGCGTCTGAAGCGGGGAAAAACATGATTAAGTGGCCTGGGGCCAGCCTGGTATCAGAGAGTCCTTAGCAGAAGGAAGTCCTTGGCAGGTGCCTAGAGGATTAGGCCTTGACTTGGGGGAGGGGAGGCTGGCCCGGCCTCTGGTACCTGCTCAAGTGTTCTATGCAGGGACAACAGAGGGTGACAGGACAGACTTGGGCTATGGCGCCACAAAGACCTGGATTCATCTGCAGCTCTTACACTGTCTGTGTGACTGAGAAAGTTACTCAGCCTCTCTGAGCCTTAGGTTCTTCCTATGTGTTAAGTGGTTACAATGTTACATAGCTTGTAGGGTTGCTGTAAGAATAAAGGTTAAGGTACTTTATTTCTTTCCCTTTTTTTCCCCAAATTTTAAGAGAAAGTTTAACCAGCTGGGCTGCCTAGGCTCAGGGAAAAAATTATAGAAGCAAGAGACCTTGGGACATTGGGAGGGAGAAAGGCAAAGGTACCGTGCCTGGTGGGGGGGAAAGAGGGGTGGGGGGAGGTTCGTGCTCAGAGAGGGAGAGCGTGAAGAGCCAGGTATTTTGCACACACCTGAAAGTAGCTGCTCGCATCCTCATTATTGCTTGTAAGTCCCCATTCAGCTGCTATAGGGATACCCCTTTCTTCCCAAAAGATTTGGCCCCACTCCTGCCCCCTGCCATCCCTTCTCATTGTCTAAGTCTCGGGGACTCACCTGGGTCCCTGGCAGCAGGCAAGGGTCAGGTAGGTAGCCAGGAAGACGGCACTGGGGGAAAGAGACAGGAAGTAGTCCACAGGCCTGACCTGCTCCTCAGCCCCTCCTGGCCCAGCCTGGCGGCACTTGGCAAGCCAGCAGGCGGGAGGCCCACAGAGCTGTTTGGAAGTCTGAGGGGAAGCTACCCAGGACAAGATTACCCCAGCCAAGGACACTGAGAACCTCTGTAACAAAGCGGGGGGAGGGGCGGGGAGCCGGCCAGAAGAGGGTGAAGGAGGCCATAGCAAACAGGCCCACAGAACATGGAGACCACTGTGCCGTGTGCGTGCTGCCTCAGTCCCCCGGCCCTGCCCTTGGGAGTTCTGTGCTGCTTCTCATGGGATGGCGCGCACTGCACTCCCCAGCACACGCAGCAACCTGGGGAGCCCCTCACAAAAGTACTGGACCCCTGCCCTGAGAAACGCCAGACAGTTGTCACCCTTCTCCCCTTGCCCTGAGCCCAGGGGCATGCAGACTCACTAGGATACGTAGTAGACAGCCGTGTTTCTCCTCACAAACTCGCCGACGGGCTGCCTGTGGAGCAGGGCAGGACAAGAGAGGAGTCACAGCCATTTCCCCTAATCGCCCACAACCAGCTCTTCTTCCCGTCTGCCTGAGTAGAGGGCCCACCCCACCTCACCCCAGCTCCTGGCAGGTGCCCCAGAGCAGGCCCGGGACCCCGGAGCTTGTAAGAGGGTCGGAGAGGCCCAGGGACTCACACAAAGGTGAAGATAGCGATGATGGCCACCGTGATGAGCAGCTGGACGGAGATGATGCTGTACACCTGGAACAGAGACAGGGTCACCATCCCACACCCCGGCCTCTCCCCAGGAAGCAGCCGGCCCCCGAGACCAAGGGGCCCAAGAGACTCTCCTCCTCTCCTGTCTACTATTGGCAGGGAGGGCCTCCTTAATTGTGAAGGGTCCACTCTTTGTCTTCACTTGAGAGCCCTCCCCAGCTGCAGCCAGGTGGAGCGGCTGGCGCAGGTGCTATGCACACCTCAGAGCTGACCCCCACCTCCAGCTGTTCCTTGACACCCCCATCCCTATCTGGCTCCAGCCTCAGTTTACTGCTTCCTTCCTCAGCCTCACGGCATGACCAGGCATGGCATTCACACAGTTTGAGCCGACATTTGTCAGGCATCTGTCTGCTCGGAGCGGAGTGCTGTGCAGCCATGATGTGGGGAAGGGGGCGGCGGGCTATGATCATTTCTGGCTCTGAGGTGCTTACAGTCCAAGAGGAGAAAGGGGCCTGGGGAGGGGAGGACACTTCACAGAGCCCGCTGGGATTTTCCCAGGCTGAATTTGCCCCCGACACTAAGACAAGGCCACAGGAAGAGGGGCAAAAGGTTGGGGAACGGGTCAGAAGAGTGCAGGGCTAACAAGAAGCTGGAAGGCAGCGGCTCTCCCCATGGGAATGGTTGCCCCAGGGCTAACAGTGCTCCCTGCTCCCAGAGCCCAAGGGCCCCAGGTACCCCTGCCTCCCAGCCCAGATCTCACCTTTCGAATGAAGGTGTGTCGAACTTTCATGTCTTCCCAATCTCCAGGCCCAAAGCTGTCACTCACTGCTCTCTCACCATCATAGCCCGGGCCTAGGGACAGATCACATGTGACCAACTGGGAACATGTGGCCCCCATCCCAAAGCCTCCACAACATTATCGTAAACAGAGACTCAGGTATCTCTAACCAAAAAACAAGTGTTAGAACTTGAACTCCTCGCCCGAACGAGGTCCTCTGGGTGCCCGCAGAGTGACCCAGAGCTGGCCTGGGCGCCACAGCCAGCTGTGTGCCCCTGTCACTAAGGAGCTTAGGTTAGAACCGCCCCCATCGGCGTGCATTCATTGAGGGCTCCTGGGTGCAGGTGCCCAGCCCACACCGGATGCTCTGAAGTATGACACGTGCTCTCTGCCAGCAAGAGGGCTCCACCTAAAGAGGAAGCCTGGCAGGCACGTGGCTTGGAGCGTCAGCCAGAAGAGCCGTGGGGTCTAAGTAGGGGATGCAAAGGCAGAAGGAAGAAAAGGAAGGTAGAAACACAGCACGTGTGTGTGGAGGGTGGAGAAGAGCGTGGACTCAGAGGAAACAGACATGTCAGGGTACATAGTCACAGGACACGGCAGGACGGGAAGCGTGACCGATGCACTGACACTCGCCAGAACAGATGAGCATGGCCAGATGAGCCTTTGGCTGCGCTCCAGGCCCGCAGAGATGCTGCCGACCTCAAAGCATTCCTCGAATGCCGCGAATGCCTGCCCTGAGCCGCTTTCAAAATCCACACGGGGGCTGCTCAGGAAAAGACCCAACTGCCTTCTAATCTTATCTCACTTCTGACCAAACAGGATTTACTTGCCACAGCAGTTACCAAACATCCAAATGACTTCTAGATGTTTGCAAAAATCAGATATTACCTTAAAGGACAAGGATTTGTCAACACCAAATTAAAAAAAAAAAAAAAGTGCCTCAGGTTCCAAAGGGAGACTGGAAAGGGGTGGGGGGGGCGGGGGCAACTGCCTGGTTAGGGACAGCCCCCTAAGGTGACAGCTCTGACGTAATTAATTACTTCACCCAGCCACTTGCCCCTGTGATGTAACTTCTAGTGTGGCTGATGGACTCAGTCTCCCTGCTGAATAAAGGGGCTAACGGGTGGCCCACAGGGCTAGGTGCTGAGGGGAAAAGCAGTGAGGTAACAAAGGTGGGAAACAGGGATGAAAAATCAGATTAAAAGGAAAAAAAGGAGGTGGCTCATGTGCTGTGTTCCTCCTCCCCCGCCACCCCCCCCCGCCCCCGTCAGGGACTCACCGTAGTGCATGGGCATCGGGTGGATGGGGGGCATAGGCTGTGGGTAGCCAGCAGGGTGACCATAGCCAGGCTGTGGGTAGGCGGGGTAGGCAGGGTACCCGCCAGGCAGGACGGACGGCTGCCCATAGCCACCCTGGGGTGGAGGGTACAGGGGGTTTCGGTCCTCATACGGAGGCGGGGCACTGGGGTTGGACATGGCCGCTCAAGGGCTGAGGAGAGACCCCAGCTGCTGGGACCTGAAATGGGAGGTGAGAAAGGCAGTCGTGAGTGCCCAGGCCCGACTCGCTCATCCCCAGTCCAGGCTGTCTCTGTAGAAGGCGACCCTCCTATTTTCCTTCAACCATGGTGTGTCACCCCCTGCTCACAGGCCACCCCCCCATGGCCACAGTGCCCCTGACCCACCAGCTCAGCCCCTGCCTCTCGCCTTTACACCCGCTCTCTGTCCACAGGCCTCCTCACTGTGCAGTGTCCTGCCCATGGTGGGTGGGGGCAGCAGGAGCCCAGAGGAGTCACTAGGCATCAGTGGGGTGAGCGAAGAGGAGCAGGGGCCTGGGAACTCCCCTGTGGTCGTTTAAGAAAACCTTCTAGCGACCAGGGAAGAAGCCTGATGGCCCAGCAGAGCCTGGTGAATCACAAGGCCAGCTGGGACCCAGTGAAGGGGTCAGCCCAGCCCCCACGGCAGCTGGCTGGCGTGCGGGGCTGCAAGGCAGAGCTGGGGGAGCCAAGGCCCGCAGTGGAGGGTGGGGGAGGAGGCGCAGGACAAGCCAGCCCCGGCGCCGCGCCGCCGCAGCCACCAGGCCCGGAATGGGAGGGCGGAGGGCCCGCGGACTCAACCAGGCTGAGTCAAGGGAAGCCTGAGGCCTGGGGGAGCGCGCGCACTGGGGCTGGCAGGCGGCACAGAAGGGCAGGCCCGAGACAGGCCTTTCTGGTTTCCTCAATAACAGCCTCGGCATGTTAGATGGGCATGTGGCAGCCTATGCCACTGCTCCCTTCACAGGCTCCCCTGGGAGTGGGGAGTGCTGGCAGGGCCTCCGACGCCCCTGGGAGCGGGAGGCCCACGTTTTGAACCCCAGGGTCTCTGGTATCGCTGCGATCCCTGCCTGTCTCCCCCCAGGCAGTGGTGAGGAGGAAAGAAAGAGCAAAGAGGGTTCTGCCCCAGGGTCCAGTCAGTACCTTCTCTGCAGGATGGAAGGCCCACAGCCTGGGGAAAGCTGAGGAGCAGGGCCCCAGAGGTTCGGTTCAGAATGGGGAACCGAGGCCCAGGGCGGCCAAGTGCTTCCTCGGGAATCACAGAGCAAGCAGGTTAATGGCACCACCAGAATCGAGGCCTCAGGGTCCTGGATATGTGCCCTCCGCCTTATGCTGTATTCTTTGTGTCTCTTAAGCCAAATCAATGTCCTCCAGGCCTGATGTTCCCCTTTGAAGTAACAGAGATGGGGGCTTGGGAAGAGCTAAGGAGGAGGTCCTGGGAAGGCGCTTGGAAGGCCCCTCTTAAGGACAAGTCCTGAGAGTCTGGGCACCTTGACAGGGCCACCACCTCCCCCCAGAGCATCTCCCAAGGGGCGGACCTCTAGGATCCCACAGGGAAGAAGCAAGCACCCCTGATCCAGGTCAGCAGACAGCCTCAGAGCCTCTGCTGGAAGGAAGGGAGAACTGGCTTTTGAGGGCACCCGCACAGTTCAGAGATCAGATAAAGGGTTGTCTCATCTCTTGTCTCTCATGACTAGTGGGGTAACAGAGAGAGAGAGGAACGGGGCGGGGAGGGGCAGGCAGGAGGGACGGCATAACAGGCCAGGTCTCTCAATGGGCTGTTCTGGGGAAAGCTGTTCTCCATCTTCCCAGAGTAAATGGACCAGCACAGCAAGACTGTGTCAGGTCAGAAATCAGAAAGATGTCGCCGGCAGTGACGGCAGGACACAGCACACCAGGGCCTCACATGTTCGGTCGTGGGGACGGGCCTGCGCCGTGGAGTGGCGGCTCCTGAGGACAGTGGGAAGGAAGAGACAGTGGGGAGTAAACACTGAGTGCTGGGAGCCTAAGAAACTGAGATATTAACTACTGGAGATGTTCTAGGTTTATATAAGGGTGAGAAAATATTCATAAGTACTTATAGTACGTGACTCTCCGTAACAGACTTTTTAAAAAGAAAGGAAAACTGGAGTCCCCTTCCACGAGGAAGAGGCTCCTCCCTATACCCCTCTATCCACCCCCTTCAAAAACCCCCTTTAACTCCACCAAGAGAACGGAGGTCACCTGTTTGCAGGAAGAGGGACAGGCGGGTCACCTTTGAGTCGGATTACCTATCATTATTACCATCATCTCAGCGCCCCGAACCTGCCTGATGTCCACCGTCCAGCTGGTGGCACACAGGTGAGCAGGCTGAACACAGCTGAGGAGGCACTGGCAAGAAAGGCCTAGTCAAAAGCTCCAGCTAAGTCACCAAACAGTGTCACCAGTGCCCAGTTCTGTCATTTCATTGGGGTGCACCTCCGTGAAATGAGCTGAGTGGACCAGATGATCTCTGAGCTCATTTCCAGCTCCAACAGACTGGCATCCTGTGACCTCTCTGCGAAACCTGCCCTTTGCCCAGCCAGCCAGCCCGCCCGCCAGCCACCCGCCCCTCCCTCCTTCCTCCTTCCTCGAAGCAAAGCCGGGCAGACAGGTCCCTCCCCAGGCGAAGGGATGAATCAGGGAGAGCAAGGCCAGCCTTCGATGGCCCCCAGGACTCCAGGGTTCTAGCACAGCGGGCTGCCAGCTCCCTCCGCACTCCCTCCCTCCCTCCCTCTCCTTCGGGCCTCAGAGGGATTCCCCAGCCGCTCTGCCAGGGGGACACGCAGGTCGGCAGGTCACAGTCCAGTTCTCTGGGGCCTCAGCCATCAGCCCATGCTCACCAGAGACCGGCACTGCCCAGGCCACCTCACTATGCCCCCGTTTCTCCACCTGGAAAACAGATTTAAGGCTCTGATGGTGCCCTCTCCAGAGGTGAACAAATTAAATGAGGAAACACTCACAGAACACGTAGAGCGGTGCCTGACAGCCTGATAAACAGTAAATGTTGACTATTTTTAGTTATTTCATTAAATCCTCAAAATACCCAATAGGGTGTATAATGTCATTATCCCTGTTTACAAAATAAGGAATAGAGGCTTAGAAGAATTAAGTCAGTTGCTGGAGGCTACTTAGCTGGGGGGTGAGGGAGTCAAGACTGGAGCGCCAGGACTGGCTCCAGAGCCCCCACTCTTAGAGCCCCAGCTCAGATCCCGCATTCGAACACCCTGTCTATTCAGACTTCTCACCGCTTCCCATCTAAGACCCTCAAACGGCAGCAGAGGCTTACACCGCAAATGGATTCAGAACCATTCAGCCCCTTCCATAATCCCCAAGTTCCCCAGCCCTGTGCAACCGCGCACAGGGAAAGAGGGTTTGTCAGAGAGACACACTCTTACACGTGAGAGCTGAAATGAAACTCACTCGGTGAGGGCAAGCCCACCCCCTCGCTTTACCAAGCAGACAGCCATAGCGCAGGGAGGAGAGGGACGTGCCCTCGGTCACAAAGCGGGGCCTAGGGTCAGGATTACATCCCAGATCTCTGGTGTGGAGGCATGGGCACAGGATAGGGAGAGAGTGTCCAGGCCCATTAGGGGAGTAGCTGGGCTCAGCCACACTCACCTCTGAGCGATGCCAGGCAAGCAGGAGCCCCGGGGGTCAGGGCTGCCCGCGCTGGCAGCCTCTGAGCCTGCTCCCCAGCTGCTGCCCCACCTACACGGCAGGCCTGGCCACCCCTCATCGAGACCTCAGCTAGGGATGAGGCTTAGGGCTGGCGCTGGCCTGGGTAGCAGGGAAAGGAGGAAGTGGTCAGTGTTTACCTTTGTAACTGTGACTAAAAAATACAGTGTTGAAAGAGGAGGGAAACAGTCCAGAGACAGAGTGAGGATGATTCATGCCCAAAGCCTAGAAACCAGGAATCAGGTCATCTGGGTAGCTATTGAGGGGCTCGCAGTCTCCAGGGGCTAAAAAAAGACTGTTAAGGTTCCCCATGGGAAGCCGGAATTTTCCTAAAACACAGTGAGCATTCAGCTTCTACTGGACACACTCCAGTGGCAGGGAGAAGGCTGTTCCACTGGCAGGCAGCTTGAATCGCTGGAACATTCTTCCTCACAATGCCTGTTACCAAGACATTCAGACTCTGCCCTGTCCTTGCACGCCACAGACCTAAGTTTGCTCCCCTCTCCTATGGCCCTGATCCCTGTCAGGAAGGAGCCAGAGCCTGTCCTTTCTCCTGCAGGATCCCCGGACCCAGCCATCAGAACAGCAGAAGCGGGTGGGCCCCAATGCAGGATTTGTTGGCTGTCCGGGTTTTCAGATGCAGCCTCGGGGAAGCATCCCCTTCCCCTGGAAGCGTGGCCACCTTGCTCCTGGCCAGGTGAGGCCCAGGTGAGGCCCAGACCCAGGCGCCCCCCAGGGGGGCACCTGAAGGGTTAAGGCTCTGGAATCTGCAGAGGCCTGTGCTACTGGGGTTACACCAAAAGGGTGTGTGCGTTGGAGGGAGGGGCCAGAAAGGAGCAGCTGACTGGTCCAGGCAGCGTGCCCTCCTCCCTGCCAGGAACTGGTGCCCAGAGCCCAATGGAAAGAATAGCTCAGAGTGCACATCTCAGGAAACCCCACCCAGCAGGCCCAGGAGGGCAGCCCCTGGCCCACTGTGACCTGATCTCTTTACTTCCCTCTTCCTTTACCTATTCCAACTCACCCTGCTCTTCCCGCCCCACTCCCCAGAAAAAAACACTTCACCCTCCTACCCCAGCATATAGCCACCAGGGCAGACGAGTAAAAAGATACACCCAGGTGTCTGGGCTCGTCACCAAGCCTGATGCACATGGGCCACAGGGCCCAGAGTCAACTTACCCTTTTGTCCGCCTGGCCCCTGGGGTTAATAGGATGACGCTGAACGGATCTAAAAACCGAAACGTCAGAGCTGGAATGGACTTTAGAAATCACCTAGTCATTTGACAAAGAAACCCCAGAGCCAAGAAAGTTCCTGCCTCAGCCCACGACAAGCCCTCTGGGTCATGGGTTTTGAACTTCATTCTCAGTCCTGCCTACTGAGAACAAGCCACCCATTTCCCCAGTTCTCCTTGTCCTCCTGCTCATAAATAGATTAAGAAGTCATGACTTCCTCCCCAGCCTCTGTCTCTAGCCAAGGCAGCCTCTGTCCCGTCAGAGGCTGAGAGGGTTGGCTCCGGTCTCCCCGGAAGAGGAAGCTGCCCTGGAGAACAGGGAGGATCCAGGCGTCCCCAGCTCCCCCACCGCCCTTCTCTGAGGGCCGAACTGCGCCATCAGGGTGGGTGATCTCAAAGACCCCACACAAGCCCGTGGTCAGAACAGCCTGCGAGTGCAGATCAGGAATGAGGAAGCCATCAGCAGACAGGGAGGGAAGAGAATCACTTAGAGTAAGTAGTTCTTGCTGTGTACTTAGGCACATAGGAGCCTCACAACAGCCCTATGACAGGCATATTCTTATCTCCACTCTACAGATGACAAAACTGAAATTCAGAGGAAAACAGACCCAAGGTCCCATACCAGACAAATAGCAGAGGTGGGTTTGAACCCAGATCTGGTGTCTGATTTTATACCTGCCTGGAGCAGAGGTCTCTGAGACACCCCCACCAGTCACCTGTGTGATGAGGTCAGCACCCAGGGCAGGTGGAGGTAGAAAATATCTTTGCTGTTGATAGCCAGTCCTTCCCCCCCTGTAGAAGGTCCATCCAGGCCAAAGCTCTGGTCCTGACTCCACTGTGTGAGTCAGGATAGGCCACTTCACATCTCTGGACTGTTTTCTCATCTGTGAACGAGCACACTGAACCGAAATATCAAAGTCCATGCGAATTCTAACAGTCTCTGAATCTGAATGAAGGACCTAACAAACCAGGACATGAGGCTTTGGGGCAGAATTACCTACTTCCTGAAGAATCTAGGCTAAGGTTACGACTCACGCTAACTGGTCTGGAGGACTGTCCACAGAGGCAGAGGCATGTGGCATGATCTGGGTGTGGGGGTGGCCTTAACTCTCTGTCCTCCCAGACTGCCCGCCTATTGCCCTGTGGACCCTACGGCCAGCATCTCCTAGGGGCCCACTCACCCCAGGACCTGCAGAGAAATACAGTAGCAGTAGACGGGGAAGAACAAGGCAGAAAACCAAGAGCCCGAGGTTCAAGTCCTAACTCTACCACTAACTGGCCTCCTTTTCCCCCAAATCAGCCTCCGTGAGGGAGGGGTAGAGAGGCCCGTTACCCAAAACTAGAGAGGGGAGAGCTAGAGTCATCAGCCAGGTAGTTCCCAGACTGCTCTACAGAAAGAACACTGCCCCGGAGAGAGCAGTGATGAGCTCTGGAAACAGATCAGTCTGAAAAACTATCCATATGCCCCTTTGGAAATTCACAAAGCACAGGCCGCTGAGAAGTGCTGCAGTGAGCAAACCTGCTCAACTTCGCTGAACCCAGTGTTACTTCAAACTTTCTTAAGCCCAAAACATTTTCATCAAAACACACCCAATTAATAATATCCTACGGAATGCTGGCCAGGCCACCTTTGATTTACAGATAGACCCAACCCTGAGAATGATTCGTGTCCTAACTCCGGTCTTTTTTAAAAATTGAGGTATAAATAACATACATTATATTAAGTGTCAGGCGTACAACATAATAATTCAGTATTTGTATATAGTGCAAAATGGTCACCACAGTAAGTCTAGTTACCATCCCTCACCATACAAACTCACAAAATTTTTCCTTGTGACAAGAACTTTTAAAATTCACTCAGCAACTACATACACTACTTTCAAACACGCACTACAATATTACTGACTCTCTAACTCCTCTTAAAACCCCTGTCCTTACATAGCCCCTCAGAACCGTCACATTATGTACCAGGCATGCCCCTCACTCTCAGAGTCAGCTCAGTGCCTGGATCCTCTGTGAGAGTCCCCCCCGCCCCGGGGCTCCCCATCATAATCTGCACAGTGGGATTTACTGCCAAGGGCTAGGTGACATCCTCAACTAGCATCGAACCAGGAGGCTGGCAGCCCCTGACATCACCTTAACGTAACAGGAAAAAAAATACAAATCATCACACACAAGAATAAGTACTCATTCTTTTCTTCCTCCCTGCCCACTGTATTGAGTATCCTCTAGGTACCCAGCACTGTGGCCTGTGGACTTCTGGATATCATTTCTACTTCAAAACAAAACCCAGGCTTTGCCTTAGAATTCCAGAATCTTCGAGGTGGATGAATCCGTCAAGGCCATCCCCTCCAAGGTGTTCCCAACAGAATCCTCCAGAAATCCCACATCGCATTGCTAGCAGAGGCCTTCTTCCCAGAGAGCTGTGTGAGCTTCTATTCTCAGGCCCTCCCAGTGCAGCCCTCTGAAGTCACACAGGTGTGTGTCCCTTCTCGGGGGCTTCAGTCCAGGAAGAGAAGTTCGGGGGAATCCAAGTGCTCTGAGGTGGACAGCTTCCAGCAAAGGCCCCCGTTCCCGTGGGAGGAGGCTAAGCTGAGGTGGCCTTCAGCCCAGCTCATGACACAAGGCTCTCCCCACACTTAAGGTGTAACCCATCATTACCTCCCTGACATACCCGTTTTTACAAGTGAGGTCCTGAGATCATGGCATAAGAAGAAAGAGGAAATCAGGGCCCTTGACACTGTATGGTCCCACCAGTTCTTCCTAAGCTACACACTGGGCTCCTGGGTCCTCATGACTGGAGAGACAAGGAGAGCAGGCAGGTGAGAAGTATGGCTGCCCGTTTGTCCCAAACAAAGCAGCCCCAGGGAAGCCCCTTGCTCCCGCCGCCGCCAGTGACTGGCCAGGCCAAAGGCATTGGCTTTGAAACCAAAGCGCACCAGTGAGATGAATATTTCAGAGCCCCAGAAAACTGGACACCTGAGCGACCTTCCATGACATGTGGCTCTGACCCTGATGCCCAGGCCTGCCCCCACTTATCCCGTGCCCAGGTTCCGCAGGTAGAACCCCACCCAGAGGCCACAGTGGGCTGGACGCAGATAGAGACCCGCTCCCCCCACCCCCAGGGCAGAACTGAGGCAGGATCCACAAGATGCCAAGCCTCCAGCGTTCTTCCACTACTTGCCCTCGCTCTGTCCCCTGGCTCCTGCCCCGGTCTCCACTTGTTTACCCCTTGCCGATTTTCCTGCTTGTTTTTTTCTCTGACCCAAAGAAGCCAGGAAGAAAACAATACTCCCCCTGTAGCTTTCTGTACCCAGCCTAGAGTGGCAAGAACAGGCAAAGTGAGGCAAAACCACGGTAAGCGGTGGCCGCTCCCACACGCCAAGGGCGGGGGCTGCTCACTGTTTCCACCTGCCTCTCCCCGCACTCATTAGAATACTCCTATCTACACCTTGGCAGGCAACGGGGGCAAGCCGAGGCCAGGGCGAGTGCTGCGCCACCTCCCGCTCCCACCAGGCGAGGGCCATGCGCGCCCTCATTTCCAGGCACAGCTGGCCACCCTGGGGGTGGCGCGGTGGACACGCCCGACGATAGGCACGAGCCAGAAAGGGGGGCACTCTCAGACCCTGTCCCGCTCGCCGGTGCCCACAACGAGCCGCTCGGCTCCCAAAAGGAAAACAGGCGACGCTCGCCTGCCCCGGGCGCAGAAGGAAGCGAAATTCCAAAGGAGAGAGCGACAGATCCCCGTTCGGGCACCGGCTTCCCGGGAACTCCGATAAAGTTTGGGGACCTGGCCCAGCACCGCCCCAGCCCTCGCTCAGTCCCCGCCGGCCCCCAGTCCCCAACTCCCGCCGCCCGCGAGCCTTTGGCTTGCCTGGCCGATTCAGACGGTGTGTTCCCGGCCTCCAGGCGTCGCAAGTCCCGCACCGTCAGCTCTGGCCTGGGCTGGGATGGGCTGAGCTGGGCTGGGGCCCCGCGCCCCGCCCCGTCGCGTCGGCCCCGGTGGGGCGGGGTCACCCGGCGCCGCCGAGGGGGCGCTGGGGTCCGCCCCGGTCCCGCCCGCTTCCGGCCTGTGGCCAGGACGAATCCACTAGTATTTTCTAATTTAAAGGCAATACGTAATTACTGATGGAAACTTAGAAAACTCAAAAATACAGGATGAAAAGCACTTCATTCCGCCCCCTCCCGACTGCCAGCGGGAAGCGTTTGCTTTCGGTGTTTCTTTGCCTTCCTGTACTTGCTTTTCTAGAGATCATATGACGTAAATTGTGTTTACTGCTTTTCTTTTACTTAGTATTTTATCACAGGCATGTTCTTGTCACTAAATATTATTCAAAAGCACACTTTTAGTGCCTCAAAGTATTCTATCACATAGCTATGCTGATTTATTACGTCGATTTCCTACTGGACAACACGTTGTTTCTCACTTTTTCATTATTAGATACAGTCCGTGATGAACATCTTTGACAACTTTTTAAGCCAAATGCACTTTTTAGGTTTCAAACTTCAAACAACCTCACACACAGGTGGGACTTCCAATCACAGTCCCTGGAGGCCAAGGTGCTTCCGTTCCAAGTCACTTCAACCCAGAAAGCAGCTGGTAAGAGTCAAGAGTCCTGAATTGAGATGTCAATTACTACTGTCAGGGCACAATCTCAGGCTGAGGGGTTTGCGCCCCTCTCTCAACCCCGATGAGTGGAAGGAGGCACTAACAGTCCCACCTTAGAGATGAGGACATGGGTTCTGGGAGGTTTTGAAGCGTAGCCTGTGTTTGTGCAGTTCTGAGGTCCATGTATTTTCCATTACAGCAAGGCTGCTGCTGCTGGGAGCTGAACGGCTTTATTTAAGGTGCTTATCTCGTGCTTAAAGCTACAGATCAACACTACAGCTAAATGTCTTTTACAGCCTGTTGACCCTTTTCCTTTTCGAATGGATGAGGGTTAACTGGACAGAACACATCTAGAAATGAACACAGCTAGACCACCAAGACAACCTGAGCAGTTCCTGACTCCAAACCCATCACTAAGCACTTTTCCTGACATTATTATCCCCTGTGGCCGGTCCAGCTCTTTAACAGAGCAAAGCTTAGCAAGGGAAGGGCCCGGGACTTACTGGAAGCTCATTTTCATAGTCAGCATTAGTGAAAGCAATGTGTTTACTAGTAAGCATAATAAACGACGTTGCCACTTAGATTGTATATTTCAGACCAATCAAAAGAGAAATGTTTTTTAAATTGCCTTCCCCCCTCCACACACACACTGTATGTTTATTCCTACAGATGGATATAACTTAATTAGGAGTTACTTAAGGGGATTGGCTGGCAGACATCACAGTGGGCGAACTGCCCCGCCACCCCAGCCCTTCAAAGTAAGTTCAGTTCTGTCAATGTAAGAACCATTCAAATCTGTAAGAATTCTTAGGAGTTTATTTGAGCCAAACTTATGACTATTGCCAGGAAGCAAATCTCAACGGATTGAGAAAATGCTCCAGAAAATTGCAGTTTTACCAATTTTTTTACCCATTATAATGAAAGGGGAAGATGTAAGGGGGTTACATGAAATTCATTAGTAATAGATTATGGAGGCAGGAGAAAGCAAAGCAGGGAAACCTTTGGGACTGGATAAAAAGTAAAATGAATAGACACATACTTCTTTTACATAGGTGGGTATAGGACAGTTAAGTCAACAAGTAACATGGTAACAGTAACAATGAGGGAATTTGTGATCTCAGCTCTGGTGGTTATGCTTTGCGGGGGATTACTTCGTTATTCCAAAGACTTGCTATCAGATATGTTATTCTAGATGCAAAAAGAAACAGGCTCAGTTACAGTGAAGATTTACCTTTGTTAGGGAAAAAAAATACTGTTCTACAACATGACTACCCACCACAACCACTTTTAGTTAGAAAGGTTTAATTTCAGACCATCCTATGCCATTACTTTCTCTCTGAGTTTGTAAGGCCCGCGCCACGCAGGCCTCCCCTGAGCTTCTCAGGTTTAGCATGTGGCCCCTTTTTCGTCCACAGTTCCTTGGCAGAGGGCCTCATTTCAGGAAGTTGCCTCCCAAAGCGTGAGATCACCAGCAAGAGTTCCCGGAGCAAGTGCAGCTCTGCTCAGGGTCAGTCTCCACCTTGATCACAGCATAGAGCCTGAGGTGAACCGCAAAACCCTGTAGACTCGGGCCAGGTACCCTGATGTCCCTTCATGCTCTCTACACTTTGGTACCTTCTCCAGAAAGCACCCTCCACTTTCTGGGGCTTCCACAGTGGAGACGTCTCCAAGGAGATTTGTTTTCCAGCCGGCAATCACATCTGCCCTGTGGGGAAGGGAATGCGGGGCCCCGGCGGACGAACTGCACCAGGCTTGCTGCATGTCCTCGCTCCGGAGCCCGCCTTCGGATCGTGGAATCAGGGTTATAGCCCTAAAAGAACATCTGAGGCACCAGGCCCAGAGTGGCAGGTTACCATAAACATTCACCAAATGGCCTCCTTCTCTTGACCCCTTTTTAATCCTGTGTCGTCATAAGAAGCATCCAAACCTGTAGAGAATTTTTATGAGTTGATTTGAGCCAAACTGATGACAAGTGCCAGAAAGCAAAATCTCTGCGGACAGAGAAAATGCTCTGGAGAATGGCAGTTTCGCAGCTGATTTTATACATTAGAATAAAAGGAGATGTAAGGAGGTCACATGAAATCTATTGATGGTAGGTTAAGGGGGAGAGAAGAGTGGAGAAAACTCTGGGACTGGGGAAAAGATAAAACTAAAAGGTAAACCAGAGAGACACATCCTTCTTTTACCTCGGTGTGGATAGGATAGGTAACACCGAACATTTACAGCGCAAACAGACAGTACTGGGCGGGGCGGGGAACCAGATGAGGTGAGGGGTTCCGCCTAGCATGCTCCAGGTGGGAGACTGCGCCCTTGGGGGATCTGAAAAAGGAGATCATTACTCTGACATTCCAAAGGTCTGTGAACACAGGCAAAAAGACAATAGACAGGCTCATTTGTTTGAGATAAAGATTAACCTTTGTCAAAGAAGCTACAGGCCCAGGACATGACGAAACTCTATGAGCCATGCTATGCCTCAAGTATTTGAAAACCGTGGTGCTAACACTCACTTTTTCTGTTGTTCATCTATTTATTCAACTGAACATTTATTTATTTACTCATTTCTTGCCACTGACTCAGATTGAGAGGTTTCCTCAGAGCAAGGGCAGTGAGACCAGATTTCAGGGCTCAGCCCCAGAGCCAGAGATTCCCCTGTGACTTGCTTTTGGTTATTTTTGGTCTCTGAGTTTGTAAGGCCACCATCCAGGCCCCTCTGACCTTGTCAGGTTTAGTTAGTATGTGGCCCCTTTTTTATTCACACCTGGTATAAAAGGGACAAAGGCCTTATCTGTAAGACCCCTGATAGATTATTAGCTAAGCCTCTACTTTCTACCAAGCAGACAGGAATTTCCAATTCTGGAGATGTCAAACCGAAAAGAACACAGCCTCTGTCCCCAGGAAATGCACAGTGTAAGGGCAATGGTAACAGGTCAGATAATTACAATGTTGTGGGTTTGACAAGTGCTGGGGTAAAGAAGTGTTCATTTGGTTCTGCAGGATCCCAGAGGACAGAGCTAACCGAGCATGGGGTGGGGGTGGGGGTGTTTCAGGAAGGCTTTTGAGGGGCAGTAACACCTGATTCCAGTGTTAGTGGGTGTTTAAGAATCAACCTAGCCATGGAAGGGGCAGCGAAGAACGTTCTCCAGATAGAGGCAACAGCATCTGAAGCAAAGGGCTTCGGGGCCGTGGTCCCAGCAACCTAGAACTGGGCAGGGGGAGCTGGGTGGGAGTGGTAAGAAGCAGGACTGGCCAAGGAGGCAGGGCCCAGGCACTGAGATTTTTACCCAGAGCACAGTGGGGAGCCATGAGTCTGTCAACAGCCATCTAGAGGGAGGTTGGAAAGGTGGCGGGAGGTGTGGCATTGCCCAGGGGGGACAGCTACCAGCTTCAGCACAGAAGAATGAGGATGACCACGTTGATGTAGGAAACATCCAGCTCTGCAGAGAATTTTTATGACAGTCTATTTGAGCCAAACTGACAAATATGCTCGGGAACAAGATCTCAAATGCTCCAGAGAATAAGTTTGCAGCTTCTTTTATGCACTTAAAATTAGGAAGGGGAGCATTGGAGAAAGCAAGTAGGAGCTGGGGATTGGATTACAGGATAGTTAACAAGATTATGCCCTCTTGGAGGTTAATACACAACTCTGATGGGTATTCTGGTCCTTCATAGGTATGTTAACCTTTGCACAAGAACAATGGACAGGCTGGTTTAAAAGCTTCTGCTAAAGAAAGTATAGGCCTACGTCATGACTACCCACCATGACCTGCACTGCTAGGAATTTATGATTAGGTCACCCTATGAGGTTACTTTCCATTTTCCCTTTTTATGTCCATAACCAGTTCATTTTGGACTTCAAACAAATACTTTTTTTTGCATAAGATTGTTCCACTGTCCCACACAATGGAACTGGGTGTCTTGTGTTTCTCTGGCAACACCGACCTGGGAGGCAAGTCAAGAAAGGGGTTGGGGGAATGAAAAGAATCAGGCTGATGTTTATTTTAGGGACAGAGTAGCCAAAGTTTAGTGATTAATGAGAGGAGGTGGAGAGATTGAAAGGGTGGGCCGCTGGAACGCTTCCCCAGAGCCCAGGTGGAACGAGAGGGAGTGGGTGAGAAAACCTAACTGGATTGGTGGATCCAGAGAACTTTCTTGGGAGCCAGGCCTGATACAGGCCAGCCCCAGGGCTGCGCCCATAATTCTACCAATTCCTCCAGCAGAGTGCCAGATTACTAAGAGCTTTTGGTGACTCCACCCAAGAGAGGTCTTTTCGTTTATCACTAACGTTCTCAGAGAAGTCGCCTTTTTTCAGAGCACTTTGTATTTACTGAATTGAGGCATTTAACTCAGCCTGGGGTAAATATGGCTCTTTCTCCCGCTAGAGGG